AGAGTAAATAAATAATAATACTAATAATAAATAGAGTAAAATAATAAATGTAATAAAATAATAATAGAGTAAGGTAATGTAAATATAATAATAATAATTAATATATTAAAATAATTCATGTAATAAAATGATACTAATAACAAAGTAAAATAATAAATAACCTTGACTCGAGTATAAGCTGAGGGGAACTTTTTCAGCCTAAAAAGGGGGCTGAAAAACTAGGCTTATACTCGAGTATATACAGTAAACAAAATTGAGCCGTGCCATACACAATGGAGGACTTTCTCACAGCGACACCAGAGGTACTCCAAGTGGCCAGCTTCTGGTCAAAGGACATTTCGCATKATGTCAAGTTTTTCAACTTTGTTTGTGTTTTCAATGCATTTTAACTGTACTCAATAAATGAATAAATAAATAAACCCTGATGTGCAAGCTGTGCTTGGGACAAGAGACCCACCATCAGGACAGWATAATTAGTGCATTTAGTTATCACTCAAAAATAGTGATAACAGTGTATACCCCCCCCCCCCCCAATCATCAAGGAAGCAAATTATTGTTAAGTAGCTTCCTGTGGCTGATATTATCCCTCTAAATCAGTTGCTGGGGAACACAAATCTAGACTGATGTTTTGTTTTTATTAATATCTTTCTGTTGGACATGCTCTCTTAATCTGGTTCACTGTCATATGAATTGTAGAGTGGTGTAAATTGGTATTTGATCTGCTATCATAGAGTTATGATTATGTTTGTGTATGTATAGATTTTTATGTTCTCAATATGTGGAGCTCCTTAGAAACTCTTCCTAATTTCCCTGTTTTTGTTTAAGTCGGCATCAAAAGTATTGATTCTTTCCTGTGGGATTGGTAAAAAAATATGTGCAAGAGTAGAACTCTTAAAAAAGTTTGATACCCAAGTTTTACATCGTTATGAGGGTTGAATGAAAAATAATGCCTCCACTTTCGTAACTCATCAACAGATGGCAGTACTGGTATGCAGCAGGCACTGGCTTGTTCAGTAGACTCTCCTCTACAGTTTCCATTTTGGCGGGAAGCCTTAGCATTGGACAGTTGTGTTGTTAAAGTGCGAAGTATGGAACACTGCGCAGATGGTCGGTCAATGCGACTTAAGCAATGTGCAGTCATTGAATTCTTGACAGTAGACATCAGAGAATGCAAGCTGTTTATGGTGATTGTGTTGATGTGAGTACTGTGCGTAGTTGGGCAAGTAAGTTTAAAGATGTTGAGATGGGAATATCTGACTTGTGTGACAAATAAAGAGCTGGATGTCCTGTGTCAGCAACCACCAAGTTTCACAAGCAGAAGGTTGACAGATTGATTCAGGACAATCGTCGTATCACTCAGAGAGAAATTTCAAGCATAATCGGCATTTCACAGGAACGTGTAGGTCACATTATTGTTTTGCTTGGCTATCGGAAGATCTGTGCACAATGGGTTGCGGAAACAGTGTCGACTTCTTCCATGATGGCTTCATCAGACTTGTTCATCGTTGGCAGAAATGTATCCAATTGTCTGGTGATTATGTGGAAAAGTGAATAGTGGTAGTTAAAGAGCATATTCTAAGTATTTATTAAAATATTCCTATCTAAACCTAAGTAACGAAGGTGGAGGCATTACTTTTCATTCAACCCTCATATGTAACTTGTATCATTTGAATAAAGAAAGACATAGAAGTGCTTGAGAAACAGCACAGAAACCCTTGCCCTAAGCATTCCTGCCTTAGTGGGATTTGTGAATGGGTGTGTCTGTGGAGTTGTAAACAAGCAAAAAGGATCCAAATTCATAATAAAAAACATGAACTTGATGCCATGCTTTGTTAGAAAAGTACTTAACATCTTACCACTTCTCAGCTGTAGGATCTGTAGATTAATTTCCTTGATATGAACTAACCTTAAGTATGGAAAGTTTACAAACATTTTAATTAATCTGAAGTTTAAATAACTGTCAGTGCACACAGCCTGGGGAGGCAGGATTAGGAGGGGAAGTCAGTTATTCAACTTCATAGTGTGGATGGATTTCTGTTCTCTGTCAGGCAGTTGTGAGTGGAGATCCAGTAGAGAAAAAAATATCGGAACCAGCACACACATTTTGACATTTCTACAACTTTTCTCTTGAGCTTAGTATTTATTTATATAACAGTTTGCAAAGGTCTAAATGTGATTTCCTTGTGTTCTGCAAATAATCCTTAACAATGACTCTATAAGATAGGTAGATTTTATTTATTTTGTGTCAAAAACATTGGATAAATAAGTGTAAAACTGATAAAATAGAGGGAACACAAGCAGCTGAATAATTTTAGACCAAAAACAGGCAACATTATTTATTTATTTCTTTATTTATTTCAAAGTTTTATATACCAAGCTTCTCACCTCATAAGAGGGACTCAGCCTGGTTTCCAACCATAAAAACACATACAATTGGTAAAATATCAAATACACATTACAATAAAACATTAAAAAGCACATATATTTAAAACTACAGTGATAGTCGTCATACTAAAATCGAATATACACCGTCTTCCATCCAGATCATTGTCTCATTCTTTGAAAGCCTGTCTCCATAAGCACGACTTCACCTGTTTCCTGAATGTCAGGATTGTTGGGGCGGTTCTAACCTCTGGCGGGAGAGAGTTCCAGAGTCGTGGGGCCACCACCGAGAAGGCCCTGTCTCTCGTCCCCACCAGCCGCGCTTGTGAGGCCGGCGGGACCGAGAGCAGGGCCCCTCCAGATGATCTTAGTAATCTTAATGGTTCGTAGGGGAGAATACGACTGCATTGTCTGTAACTTTAAACAATTCTTCCTATGTGCATGAAGCAGGCGTTATGGGCAAGCATACAGATGTGTAGTTGTTTGTTCTGCTTCAGAGTTGCACAAGGTGGAGGATTCTTCTAGGTTGTGCCATTTTGGCAGGTTTTTTGATAGGTTGGTCATTGCAGTTATCCATGTGTTATGTGAGGAATGAATCAGTGGGGAGTTTGCCTAAAGCCATTTACAGTGAAACCCCCAGTAGCGCAGTGGGTTAAACCCTTTTGCCGGCAGGATTGAAAAATGACAGGTTTGAATCCAGGGAGAGTGCGGATGAGCTCCCTCTATCAGCTCCAGCTCCCCTTGTGGGGACATGAGAGAAGGATGGTAAAACATCAAAACATCCAGGCACCCTCTGAGCAACATCCTTGCAGATGACCAAATCTCTTGCATCAGAAGCGACTTGATACCTGGGGCGGGGGATGAAACTGAGATTTGAATCAGGTTCATTCTACATCTTAAACTCTGTGTCCTGATCCCAAATGAGGTCCCCTCAGCTCAATGTTGGGATCACGAAAAATTTGGCAACATTGAAAGTTTTCTGAATGCCACCCGTTTACACAAATCTGTTAGCAGCAATGTGTAGTGTTTACAGTGGACTCTGTTGAAAATGCTTCTGCTGTACTTCATAAAAAAGGGAAAACAGCTTTTAACGGGCAATTGCAAATGCTGATTTATTATCTCAAAAGGTTTGATTTTCTGCTACCTATACAGGCAGTCTCCAAGTTATTAACAAGATAGGTTCTGTAGGTTTGTTTGTAAGTTGAATTTGTGTGTAAGTTAGAACAGGCACATTTTAAAGTGTTTTTTGTTGTTTGTTCATTCGGTCGCTTGCAAGAGCTGGACCAGAAGGAAGATAAGCGCTTTTCAACTGTGGTGCAGGAGGAAAATTCTGAGAGTGTCTTGGACCGCAAGAAGATCAAACCATCCATAGGACCGGGCTTTGGTGCAGCTAGCTAGGAGCCAGCTAGCTGCATTAAATCACCATTGACAGAGAGGTCATGAGTTTGAAGCCAGCTTGAGT